TGCAGAAAACAGGAAACAATGAAACGATATTGAGTTGTACTGTGGACAGCAACCTCAACCCAGAATAACAAAAATCGTGCTCAGCGTGCAAGGCATCACAGCAAAGGCAAGGATGAGGAAGGGGACCACAAGAAAAGAATGAGGAGATGTGTAGATGTGTTATGTCTTCTGAAAGCCAACAGGCAGCATAGAAGGAAGCAAGACAAATTGTGTTTAAATAGAGTGGAGTTGAGCGTTGAGGACCTGTCAAAGCTGACTTTGTGATATTACCTTATAAATGAGTGGAAGCAAAATTTCTGCAAAAAGGAAAGGTGCGCTGAGTGATGCTGTACTGGAGTAAAAAAGTAAACATGCCACATATCTCTTCAGACTAAAGGGGGAAGATGTAGACGTCTGTAGCCATCCTACAAGCAGGTTACTCTTGAGCAACACATGGGGTCAGTTGTGTGGAGAGTAATGCCTAGTGCCACAGCCTTTTGACTTCAGTGAGCTAACACAGTATAAATTTTGTCTAGCAAAGCTTAGTTAGTTAGTTAGTTAGACTTTTAGTTAGTTAGTTAGACATGTCTCTGCCTCAAATTATTTATTCCATTCTTTTGCCAGAGCCAGAAAAGACAATTGCAAAGCAACCATCCCTAAACTTGAGTTTTCATTTTGTGAACACAACATCAGCACTGCAACTTGCTGCTCAGACTACAAGTATTTTGGCAAAGGCAAAGTCAAAGTGCTGCAAAAGGACAGAGCATCTCTCTTTCCTTGCCCTGGAGATAAGCAAATAAAACCAGAACAATGGAGTTGGATTGATTCATTTCCAGTCACCTGTTCATTAAGAAAAGTTCTTTCTTCTAAAATGTGCAGCCCCAAAACTGATGTCATAATGCAAATAATGACAAAGAAAGAGAAGGGAACGCGCATACATATATATACAGACACACACACAACCCTAGAGCGAGAAGAGCCTCTCACTCCTGCCACTCTTCCTAAATTACCGAAGTTACTGGACAAAGGTAATATCTGCAGAATTTAATTTCAGTATTAGAGATTTTATCCATAGAATCACTAGGTCAGTATTGGTTGGGCACTGGGCTACAAAGGCTAATGTAGTTAATATCTAAGTTGTACCAAATGTGATAATTAAAAGAAAATGTCTCCTTATAATAATCCCAGAGGAAGAATTTTAAAATAAATCATATCCTCTGCTTAGAAAGCACACCTTCCACCTGTGTGGGTGAGAATGTCTTCAGTAAAGTCAAATTCCCACATTTCTTTAGATCAAAAGGTAACACTTTGATTAATTTGCTTCATTATTTAAAAGTGAACATAAATTAATCCATTTTGCAGAGGGTGGTCAATCACAGGAAATGCTTTTCTAATGTCATTTGAAATTATTTTTATGTTGAATTTATTTCACTTGAGTATCGGGATATACTAGCACAGCTGAACTCAGAATTTTGTCATCTAGAAATACTATCTGTCCAAGCTTTCAGGTATACATACTATTAACATGTCTATTATATCTTATTGTATGCAGTAACCTGATTGCATTTTCTTAATACAGAGTGAATTGTTTTTTATAAAAAGATAGTTAAAGATGTAAACTCAGAGAAGACACAAAAAACTTATACCAGAGTAACTGAAAAGACAAATATTCCCACTCTTACAAACTTTCAAATCTGTTATGCCCTGAAAGCTTTATCACCTGCAGGAAAAAGGCTCTGCTGAGGAGTGAAGCACCAGGACTAAACATGAAAAGCCTGGCCTGTATTTTTCAAAGAGAACTTTGTTTCTAGCTTTTTAGCTATAGATTTTATTTTTTTTTACATTTGATCAAATTTACATGAAACATCCAATTTTCAAGCAGTGCTACCTAAAAATGCATTGCTAGCATTTGTCTTTTCAGAAGCACGGAAGTGATTTAGTGGATTGAATACTATTGACATGGAAAGATAATTGTATCTGGGAACTGTCATCTTTTGACTTTAAAAGTAATGCTTAATACATTTACTCCAAGAGAGAGATTTGATTGTACTGTCTGACAATCGAAGATGTGCAGTAGTATTTTAATCAAGTTTAGTTCTGGAGCTAGAAATGTTTTATGTTTCCAGTTGCAGCACTTATCTGGGGAGTCCCAGAAAGATCTTGTTTCTGCTTGTAAGGACATGACAGCCTCTCAGTGGCCAAAGATATCCCTTCAGTTTAAGAATTTATTCTTCATTAATGTGAATAAGATCCCTGTCTCTACCACATGCAGGTGATTTCCTTATGCAATCACGGGAAAACAAGCTAAAGACTGAATATCTGAATGACATGAGGTGTGATAGGATTTGTCCTGTTGATTTATATAATGCAACAGAACACAGTACTGAAATACATGATCAATGTAGCTGCAACCTACCTAGTACCAGGAGCGTTATAGTCACCAGTTCACATTCTCTTGGTGTTTTCATAGGCTGAATACACCTCCGAAGAGTTAAGATTTGTTAGGCCAGGCACAATGCCATCATAATATCACTGTGAAGCCCATTGGATTCAAACTCACATCTCTCCATGGCAGTGCTGTGTTACCATTTTTGATAGTATCAGTTTGGGAGTGAATGGGCCAGACTCATTACTTTGTGAGCTCATGAAAGAGTACAGCACCTTGCATTGAATAACTCAACAGTGTGTGGAGCTTTTGATCTGAACTCAGACAACTTAGTTTTGCATTGCTACCATGCAAGTGAAAAAGAATAGTATTTTCATTTTTCTTGTTTGGTTTAATTTCCCTAGAGGTAGGTTGAAACTCTGCATAGCTGGGCATCTAAAAAAATGAAGAACTTACCTTGTTCCAACGGTGACTTGATTGCCACTAAAATGTTGCTTCTAATATATGGACTCATGCCTTATATTTGTTCATGAACATTTTGCTGTGAGTATTAGCCCTAAGATCTTTTGGTTGGGTGTAAAAATCACATGGTATATTTGTGTTCTCTGGTTGATTGACCTCCAGTCTTAGCGGAAAGTCTTTCTTGTGTTGTAAAAAGGATGAATGTTTCCAGCTATGCCTATAATTATTAGCATCTAAATTCTGAGGAAGTCACTCTCAAACTCAAAGTTAAACGCTGGCAAAAACATCACTATATCAAACCCTTTACCATGACATTATACACTGTGACATCTATGTTGGAACATTCCTACCTACTGCAAACTAGTGTGAAATACTCATAAAATGTGAACATAAAGGAGGTTTCACACACAAAGAAAGATGTTTGAAAAGCTTCATGTTTTCCAATGTTCTGGCAGGCCTTTCCCAGGGCCTGGGAAATTTCAACAGGGTTGAATTTTAGTTGGAAATTTAGCCCCAAACGAGGTTTATAAGTGAACTTGCTTGTGCCCAGTTAGAGACCACAACATACAGAACTTGCTTTTCGGTGAAGACGAAAGTATTAGAGCTGCTGCATTACTTGCGAATGAAAAGAGTCACACGAAAGCATCTGAGAGAAAACTAACACGCTTTCTGGATTGCGATCATTATTCTTTTTATTATTATCATTATTTTCCTTATAATAAGCAGCAATTTCTGACACCACTGATGCAAGCTAACTCATTCACACAAGGCTAGATAACAAGTAAATCCACTCAATTCAGTAACATAAACCCAACATAAATAAAAGGGAGATCAGATCAAAAATCTAGAGGCAATTTCAGGTGTTAAACAATGAACAGGATATGAATAATGCTATAAATGCCATCTCTTCCAAGTCATCATTCTAGGAACATGAAATATTCATTCTACTCAGCGAAAGAAGAATGAAATGTAAGTTGTTTCTCCAGGACCATGGTAACTTGCTGTTAATTCTTTGAGATGTGAACTCATCCTTCATTTCCTACCATAAGGAAATGCGCTTTGTAGAACTTAACTCATTCTTCTCACCTAACATCAAGATGTTTATTTAGTCACTTAGCAGAGATGGATTGGTGGATTGTTTATATTTTCATTGTATATTTACAGTTTTAACAGGTGTTATCCCAATAGTTTACCTACCAAGCAGGATTTCCTAGATCTCTACCACTGACCTGTACTGCTCACGCTATGGATTTTTCTCAGAGGCCAGCTCTAAGGTTTATTATGTTTGACAGTTTTTGTTACGACCGTTTTCCTTGCTTGCTTCAGCCTGTTTTAAGGTAACCTGTTGAGCTCAAAGTTACTCTTCCTCGGGATTTTGCCACATCTTTACTCTTTACCAACCAAAAAGACATGATTTCCTGTATATCCTCAATAATACAAAGATATATAACCTTTACTTTTTCTGATGTGCAGAAAAAGTATCCCATGAGTGGGTTTCAGACTGTCTGTGTACATGCCATGGTACTTGCTTCTATAAGGTATCTTAGCAGCTGGAGAGTAATAGCCAATATTATTTCCTGAAAGTTTTGCTTATGTCTAGGTGTCAGATGTAACTTGAGGGTGATCACCACCATTTGCTTGAGCCATTATGATGCTGATTTAGTCAGGAAACGGGGAGCAGAAAAGAAATGGAGACAACTGTTGATATGTTCGGTGCTCCACTCCGAAATACCAGTTCACAATATGGATGGTGCTTGCTTGAGCAGGACACTAATGTGACCCTACTGAACAAATTAATGGGCTTTCTTTTACACAAGGAGGTAAAGATGAAGGAAATGTTGCACATTCAAGATATCTTGAATAAAGAAGTCAAGAGGGGGTTGATCCATCCTTTACAAGATACATGCACCTTTATGCTACTTGCAATCCCTGCTTCAATGCAAGGCGGCATCTTCTCTCTGTACGAGATAGTGGTGCCCATACAACATCATACACTCATTTGCACAGTTTCAGCACATCCAACTGTATTAGGCATCAACTAAAATAATCTTCTCTGTGGCAGGCTTGACTTCACAACAGCTTTGTATCTTGCTTACATATCACATTACAGCATAAACTTTATGCAACACAGATTAATGGATTTTGGTTTTTATTTTCTGTTTTTTCTCTGTAGAAATGGATCTACTGACTGCAATCATTTTTGTGGCTGCTTTGCTACACCAATCTGATGGACAGGTAGGAGCATTCATCCATGCAATGATGAGCACATTGTATGGACACCTGACATAGTGTAGTCTGATCTAGTGTTCTCTAGAGCTTTACAATTCAGGGTTGAAACTATTGTTAGCTTGTTAACATAACACAATAAACCTGAACTCTTGTTTTTCATGTATTTTTGTATTAAGCTATTTCTTCTGCCTATCAAAATATGCTTCTCTTCACAAGGCTAATTTTAACAATACATTTTCCCCAAAAGTATGAACTGAAACTATCTCAAAATAGTTTGGCTAAGTATCAGAAATCTAGTCTTCACCTTTCCTTAAAGAGGATTAATCTTGTAAGATGTAGATACCTACTACGTAGACACTTGAATGTGATCTATTCATCAAGATCTGCTTACTAATGAATGAAAAGAAGTACTTCAGGGATGCCAATCATCTCTTTCTTCAATAAAACTTATGTGAACTATGTCCTAAGCTGTTTGTTTCCTTTACCTGAGCATAGTAGCAGCCTAAAATAACTGGCTGAGTTGTTATTTCTGCCACTGTAAATGTCTTGAGTTAAACAGGATGTACGACACCCCTTAGGGTAGTTTCAGTTGCCCAAAGAGAAGTGTCTTAGTGCAGCTTGAGACTCTCAGAGTATCTGCGCCGTTCATGAGTGGCTGTACAGACAGCTGTACCTTCCTGGAGCAACGATCTGAAGACAGGCAGGGCTTTCTGAGCATGTCAGATGGCATTAGGTACCATTTAAAACCACTGACTACAGCCTTTAAAACATGGAATTGAGCTCTGAAGACAAAGCAGTGGGATTCATTCATAGTACTCAGACATTTCAGAATTTGTTCTCTCTCATTTTATGCTTTTCTCATTGACCATAAAGGGAAACTGAGATGACTTTTAGATATTTACATCTATGGTACAGATATCTATAACTAAATAAGATGAACCAGTTCCCAGAACAGAGAACCTCTCACTAATGGCAGAACTCATCTCCCAACTTAAGCATCAAAGTATTAGTTGTCCAGATCTCTGTCAGGCTCTCCTTACAAATGAAGGAAGGAGAAAAAAGTACTTGTGGAGAATGGTTCATCCAGTCCTAATAAGGAGTTCAGATTTTGTGGGATGAGATACCTCTGCCCTCTCCAGTAATGACAAAGAGGGTGAAGGCGTCTAGCTTAAGCTGAGATGTTTCATTTTTAGATGTTATGTGGGCAGAATCTTTTCCTGAGGGATGTTTTAGTCTGAAAATTCCAACATAAGCATTGCAACTCTTATTCTCTGCAAGGATTCATGACCTGGCATCACTGTGTAAGAAACAACTTAAATTATTCATTGCTTTCTTGACCTTAGGTATTTCAGAAGGTCTGCAAACAGTCCTAAGTTCTGATCCAGCTTCACATACTTCCAAAGCTTACAACTGACAAGAGCAAGGGAGTTTTGTAGTGCACACAAAAGGTCAAAGCCAGTCTTGAGATTTGGTTCCAGACCTAAGCTTTCTCCATGTTTGATGTGGAGACATATGAAGGTAGAATTCCTATCTACAGATTTCATTTAGGGTCACATCTCCTAATTAAAAACGCAGTTCAAATCAAGGAAGGTAGGAAAAAAAATCCACAATTATAAGAATAGAAGAACCAATAAAGGAAAGCTAGGAATGTCCAAGAAGCTTTACTTTGACAAGATGCTCATATTTTATCTTGCTTACTAAACTTCTGATAACTGGAACCTTCATTGTTATTGTTTTCTAGGATTTTCAGCATAAACAATCAGACTTTTCCTCTCATCGTTTTATACTTCAAACTCAAACCCAGATCCTTGAGCAACACAATGAAATACGGAGATCTGTAATTCCCACGGCCAGGAACATGCTGAAGATGGTAAGCTATGCATTGCAATTAGCCTGCTTTCCACATAATTAGCAGAAGATTGTATCCTTCTAAACAACCCACAGTCAGTGAACAGAGAGGGCAGGGAAAGTGCTCTGGGATTGAGATGAAGAAATTAGAGTTTTATGCCTCTGTTCCTGCAGGTTTCATGCTTAATTTTGCACACCTTGATGCTGCGAGCACTTGTTAAACCATTGCAAAGGTCCCAGGACGGGCCACAAGTGCTATTCGAAACCTCTCTCCTAACCAACATATCTTAGTTTCAATTAAGCAATTTAGGAACTGTTCCATGCCTAGAGTTATTTGTCTACAGGAACCACGAACACAGATTTACCCCAACCACATCTATTTATTGCTGTCAAGCCTGCACAGTGAATTACAAGTTCTTGCTTTATGTTTGTTCACTGCAATAGACATCAACTGCAAGCCTTTTCAGAGAAAGCATTTAAACTGGGGATAAGGTACAAAATCCAGTGATGGCTTTCAGATTATGGATAACATTCTTTAGTCTGTGGGATAAGCAGCTCCCTTAATAGAAGAAAAACATAAGCCCCTGATGAAGCAAAAAAATACGTAAAGCGAAGATGGAGCAGGAGCATGTGCAGCAGCATGCTTCTGAATTGTACACTGTCAGGGGGGCAAAAGAGACCTAAATCTGCATAGCCATTTCTCTTCAGCTGAACTTGCTTTGCCCATCACTGTTGCCATCCCTGTCACCCCTGATATTCTTTGTTATCCCTGTCTCATGAGCAGCTGAGCTGATTAGTGCTTTATGGTTAAGTCTGCATGATGAGACTTGCAAACATTGCCCAGGTTCAAAGTCCAGTTGGTGTCTATCACTACATCTCAGCTGCACCTGGGCTGAAAATCAGTTTTATACCATTTAGTGCACTGCACCCTGCAATGTTGACTCAGACAAAAAAAAAAAAAAAAAACACAAAAAAAAACAAAACAAAAGAAAGCAACAGCATGTTATAAAATTCCTATTAATCAGGACCATCTGGAAATCAGGACTGCATGATACTATGCAGAATAATCTGCTCTGCAACATTTAAGAGCTGAAGAAATGTGGTACCCATGCCCCAGTAGCGTAAACTGGCACGACTGCTCTGCTCTCTGTTGAGGACCATAGGAACATTCAGCACAAAATGCCCAAGTCACTCCCCATTTTTTTTTCTTCTCATGGACTGCACTACCCTATCTGTGACCTGGATACTTCTTCCTTTCTGTCTTTCAGATTTGGAGTGAGGAAGCTGCCAAAAATGCCCAGAATTGGGCAAATAAGTGTGAGATGAAAATCAGCCCAAGAGATCAGAGAGTCATTAATGGTACACAACAACTATGGAACCTAAGCTGATGGGTTAATGACAATTTGCAGATGACCTCTGTGCATGTGATCTAGAAATAAATAACTTTTAATCTGTTGTAGAATATCTTTTTAGCATTATTAATTACAAAAACATCACCTTTGTCAGATAAATACCCTGAAAGACAAATTATTGGAACTTGAGAGAGAGAATTGCTATGTACTTGCCCTAGATTTGTACCTTTCTTGAAGTGTCCGCTTTTGGCTTCTGCTGGAGACAAGGCAGCACAATAGATGACTGTTAGTACGACCAAGTACAGACATTTCTGTGTAACACTTTGCTGTCAAATAAGTATCTGTGACTGAAAGCTCACCAAAATCAGAGTAACATTTCCTGCAGCTTTCATAGGATCAGATGTGTTGTCCTCTTCTTAAAATCACAGGGCAAATAGGTTGGCATGGTAGAGATTTTTTTAGGATGTAGCTACAACCCCTCTGTCCTACCTCCCACCCTAAAGCTTGCTTCTCTCCTAAGTAATAAAATAGACTGACTTCTACTTCAGGTGTCCCCTGCGGTGAGAATGTATTACTGTCATCTTATGCAAGGACATGGGCTGAAACCATTCAAGTCTGGTACAATCAGTCCTCTAATTTCAAGTACGGACTTGGAGCGATTGCGGAAAATGTCGATATCAAGAGCTATACTCAGGTATGGAGAACTGAAACAAACTGCAATGATATGTTAGAATTACAGGAGTTCACTTAAGGGAGCTGGGAGATATTTATCATCAAAAAAAAAATTATCACTGTCAACAAACCATTATCTATCTTTCACACTCTGAATCAAAGCTGAACAATAAATTAAAACTCTTTTTCATTTAATGCTGAGGCAATGGAATCAGTATTTTGGTAGAGCTGTCCAGAAGAGAAATATTATTCTGTAGGAAAAAAACTTAAATACTTTTAATTTAGAAATAAATATTTTCTATATAGGGATTGCAATACCCAATTAAGAAATAACAAAGCAAAACATCTATGATGAAAATATTTGAATTCAAACTTTAGTGTCCTGCCAGAAACTGTGTTCAAAAGCATTTGGAAACTGGAGGACATGGTTAACTCATTTTTCTATTTATTCTTTCTGACAGCTAAACTGTAAACTTAAAAGCTGAATAGACATAATGGAACAAAAAAAAATTATCTTCTGGTTCTGTTATATTGTGAGTTCTTTGATGAGAAGTCAATAAAACATGACTCTGAAATAATGTGCTTATTTTTCATTCTACAGCTAATCTGGTACAACAGTTACCAGATTGGATGTGCAGCTGCCTACTGTCCTAGGAACCAGTTCAAACACTTTTATGTTTGCCACTACTGTCCTGCGTACGTACTGCCTTTTTACTCATTTAAGTTGCAATAATTATGGCTATGGTTTCAAAAAAATCCTGCGGTCCATTGGTCATGTGAAGGATAAAATGATTACAGTTTATTTTAACCATTTATAATTTTGAAGATGCCAATGTGAATTGTGGGTTTAAAATCAGGTTAAATAGTAATATTTATTTTATTTCACATTGAAACAGATACTAGGGAAATTTTAGCATATGATCAAAGAAAGGTCTATCTCCATCAGAATCAGGTGTCATGCACAAATCATCCTATAACTTTGACCACAAACAAGAAAGTCAGATGCAAAGTGAAAGTAAATGAATATTCACAGAAGTAAAGAGCCCATCTGAAACAGCCGCATGTCAGAAGGTGTCTCATGAGGTTATTTCCTTATAAGCCACAATCACTTGAAAGCCATTAGAAAAGCAGAACTAGGATGCACATAAGATTTTTTTTTTTAACTAATAATGCTATACAAATTATTTTTCTTTCTCTAAACCTTATCGTCCCTATTATTTAAAATCAAAGTTCTTGTGTTCTATAAACATCTGAAACTTAAACATGACTGTTTATGAAAATAATTTTATCCAAAAATTTCTGGATGCCTTTCATTGAGATAAGTAACACAAACTCCTGTTAATGGCTCAGAGCTGCACTTTGTGTTGTTGCACTCATTTTGTGTTGTATTTCTTTCAAATTTCAGAGGAAATAATGCAATGCAAATAGCTACACCTTACAAAAGCGGACCAAAATGTGCAGACTGCCCTGGCCACTGTGACAGAGGGCTTTGCAGTAAGTGCCATTGCATTACCTCAGATAATAATGTTGTTCCTTTGTAGTATTTTACTTTTGCATACTTACTTCTTGCTAATCTGGACAAAAGATCCTAGAACTGCCTGTTTCGTTTCCCCCCTGAAATAACAGTGGTTAAACAACCCACCAGAACAGGCACAATCTTGAGCAGGGGTGTTGGACCAGATGATCTTCAGAGGTCTCTTCCAACCTCAACCATCCTGTGATGACAGGTAAATTGTGTTGCTGTTGAGCAACAGGTGCATTATCACACCGTTAATCTGCTGCTGCCCTCTTCTGAAAAGCTCGAGACAAAATGTCTTGATGTACATCTATAAGGGCACGAATAGATCATCAGGCTTCATGCAACCATAAGTGTTTGAAGATCTGCACAGGACCCTGGGTTCTGCAGCCTTCCATGTGGAGCAAGTCAAAGCATACTAATAGATGAGAACCATAAAATACTACCTTTCTGCCTGCATTCCCTTTTCTATAATATTCAAGCGATTTTAACAGCAGAGCAAAAGTACAAAGACTATATAGATATGGAAATTTGGAATTTTTGGTAAATGCAGAAGTACCAGGGCTTGGTTTGCAATTAATATTTCATGGTTTTGTTTCTGTTGCTTGTATTTTAGCCAACTTTTGCAAGTATCAAGACGTCCTTCGACACTGTAGAACCATGAAAATCTTGCTGGGCTGTGAGCATTCACTGGTGAAGGAGAAGTGTCCTGCTACCTGTGGATGCACGACTCAAATCATGTAATGTCCTGGTGGATGCCATTATAGCTGCCGTGAGACTTACTTATTAGGAAAGAGTAGAACTCACTGTGATGTGTATTCACTCTCAGTGCATCAGCTCAGATTGTCCTATAAGTAACATTTTTTTCTGAAATCTCACCATTATCTCAGTCCTAAACAAGTCCAGTAGATCAAAATAACCTCTGGTGTTATTTTAGACTTTGTAGAAATCATGCTTAAGCTACTAAGGTGTTACTTTGTGATTTTCCTTGCAGTGGATATTCCATCAATTCATTTATTTTTAATGGAAAACACACTTTTAAAACACTTTGGGTTTTTTGCAAAATATGGTAAATGCTACTTAACTTTCTTCTGTTACCTTATCTTTGATTATCAATAGAATGTATTCCTGCTAAATAAATATATGATTTACCACCAAGTCACAAACAGAGCTTTTCAATTAAGTTATTTATAATTCAGTTTTTTACTTTTGAAAATTCCTTATGGATATTTCAAGGCTCTTTGATGCTTCATGCGAGTGGAGATGAGACAGGAAAAGAAAGACAAAGCAAAAAGTGATCCTATTTTTTGTGCGGCCAAAATAAGAGGCACACGTTGAATCTGCCAACTTTTACACTGTGGCCTTAGCACAAAGCTTCTGATACATCTGTGTATGCAGGTGATAAATGATAATTTTTTTCATATGGCACCAACAGTCGAGAAATATAAATTTTTTTTTCATACAAAGAAAGAGGTGTATATATCCCTTCCCATTGCCTTGATGAGTAAGTCCCGTCCTCACTTGGAATTCATATTGCAGCATGTAGAAAAAAAAAAAAAGGCAGTAGATCCAAGTCCCCAGAAATGCCCACCAAAATATCTGATTTTCTCCAGAAGTTCCCTGGAGCCACCTTAGTGCCAATTTCTGGCAGAGCACACCTTTAGGATATCTCCGAGAGGACTAAGTTCAGCTGACGTTCTCAGATGTGCCTTCTCCCACCTCTATACGCAGGCAGGCCACCAGCTCCTGCCTAGAGGGAAGTTTAGCTGGATCTGCTGCATGTGGTCACAGTGCCGTGTTCGTTTGTGTATTGCTTCTAATGATGCATCACCTTGAGTAAAGTTTTTCATTTCATTTCTTTCACAGCCCTTTAAAATGCAGGGCATGACTTCAAAGGGCTGCAGATCTGTATTGACCCAGAACTGAGGACTTAGATTTCTTACCTGTCAGTGGCATTGGTTACCTGGAGAAACTTGCTGACCCATTTAGTGAGGGGTGTTATCACAATCATGTCTCTTTAGATAATGACAATATTATTACATTGATAAAACAGTATTTCAGAATCATCTTACAGCTTTTTTTTTTCCATGTTATAGCTTTTATCTCATCTTTATATTTCTAACTTTAATAAAAAGGTAGACACAGAGGAACTAGAAGCTCTTTGCTTACAGTTTATAAACCTTGAATAGATTTTAAAAAATGAGCAAACATCTGAAACAGCATCTTCTCACTGAACAGAGAATCTCCTTCCCACTAACCTTCCTCCTGACACTTCTCCCAAGCGATATCTCCTGATGCCATGTGGGATGCACCAGCATGTCCCACTGGACCTCCTGCTGCTCCTCAGGATGGGTGCTGGTCTTCCATAGATCTTGAGTCACATACAGCAGCCCTGAGCAGGATTGATCCTACTTACCACCTTCTCTTCCTATTTCAGATCAGTAAAAATCATTCTCCGTAGGACTGCTATTCCAGTTAAAAACACAAGAGGGTGAACCATATCCAGACTTTCAGCTACGTGGGTTTTCATTTTGCTACTTGTACAAAGGGCTCCTCCTTTTGCCAGAAATTAAAGTTCTGGACCTACCCTGGCCTGATTTTAACACTTGCTTGCACAGCATTTCTTAGCTAATACTGGATGAATAAATAATCACTACATATAGAAACAGTTTGGTAGTGGTTTCTTCCCCTCCGCTGTTTCATCCTGTCTCTGTTGGCCAAATTACCACCATATTAAAGCAATATATACCACCAAATTAAGGTAATTTATGGTTTCCAGGATATCAATGACTAACTCGGGTAGCTTTGATTTTCTACCTGCCTGAAGCTCCGTTTCAAAATCATGACTGTGTGCCACTATTCAAGGTTCCTACAACCACAGCAATATTTGTAGAAAGCATACTTCGAACTAAAGCTGGGTGAAAATTTCCTGAGAAACCTATGCTTTCCTCAGAAAATACTATCCTGTAAAACCCCAGTTCTCTTACAGGAGGATAGGTAATTTTGGCAAAACTCTAAAGTGTATTCTGGGAGATTTTCCAAGATTTAATTTTTATTTACAACCAAGGAGATGGGGGTTAAAATTCCTTCCACACACACACTTTCTCTTTCCTCCACCTCTCTCTGGGCCAGTGAATATTTAAAGAGGAATGATTTTATTATTGGAGATTTCTCAGAAAGCTCCCTCCCCAAAGAGCCAGCTTTTGTGCTCTGGATATCCAGCTATGGTGTTTGAACCTGGCAGCAGCAGGAGCTGGAAGAGATCTTCTGCATCATGAAGTGACACCCTGGAGCATCACACATCCTGCTGGGCTACTGCAGGGTACCCAGGCATTAACCTTCCTACTTTCATAGCGGATTTCAAAAAATTCTGCTTCCCTGTTGATACTGATGTGGAATAGAAGAAAGAGCAGGCGAGACGAAATGCTACCTGGACGATCCTGTTTCTCAATACAGACTTTAAGGAGAGCTTGGGTCACTCCACTTAGTTGTTCATGTCCCTGGAAAGGCTGAGATACTTCTGAATATGAGTTGCCCCTACATACAGGTGAGGTAAAAGCAATATGACCTTCACTGAGATCCAGCATGTCAAATAACATTTTTCTCCATTCTCTGATTGTATTTTCACAAACTCATTTTTTATACTGATGTCCTGAGAGTTGTTTCCTCTATGGTACTGGCACATGGTTTTTGGTATGTGCTGAAGTTACATCTACAGAATCATGCTACTTTTTAGGTGTAGTTCAGGCAAGAAGTTAGTAACACCAAGAGTTTCTAACAATTTCTATTCTGGTTCCAGATAAACTCACAAGGAGCACATATGCTGAGAGGTGATAAGAGCAACTACTATGCTATAAGTCTAAGTCTTATCTGTGGAGAATGATGTAAGAGCTCTTCAGCAGTTAACTTACATGACGAGGACTTTATACACAGGGCTTTGAACAAACGTTATGAAGTAACTTTAATAGTCTTACAGCTTGTGAAGAAAGAACATTTTTGATATTTAAAATGTGCCAACTGCAGTAGTCACGCTATCTAATTTGGCTGTTTGAGAATCAGCCTCTGGGCTAAGCAAAATGGAAGGTCTTTCACTTTCAGTATCACAAAGTCTTGCTGAGAGTTGTGGGCCTAAATCTTCCCTGGTTTTCTCCATCTATTTGTATGATAGAGAGAACAACTCTTCCGTAAATCTTGCATCCCTCATGTCCTTAACATATCACACCTACAATAACAGCAGATTAAGCAGCTAAAGTTAAGACTTTATACTAAATGGAAGGCAAGGGTTGGAAACCTTGACATGTCATTAGAAATTTGTGTTGTCAGAATATCCAATTAATTCCCAAGAAACAAAACTGTACCAAGATGCTTGAGCAAGACCAAGCAGCAAAGGGCCATCAGAGCAGGGACAGAACAAGGATATTTCCCACCCCTGGGCTGCTCCCAGCCCTTCTGGGCCAGGCTGCCAAAAATTGGCTTCCTCTAAGTGTAAGGGCCACAATTAAACTGTGAAAAACAGGAGACAGACTTTCTCATTAAGAAGCTACTTGACAGCTACTGTCTCCGCTCCAGGCTGCAAGGAAGACATTTAACCTCCGTGCTTCAGTCTTACTGACTGCAACGCAGAGATAAACTGACATAGTCAGGGCAAGGAAGATTAATTAGTGAATGCTAAGAAAGAGCCTATGAAGCACTAAGACCTGTTAATTATAATATCACATTTGGTAGCCACACCTCCAGTATAATTATATCTCAGTTTAACCACAAGGCAAGGGGACATGGGGAACCAGGAGATACAAGTAAGGAAATGACACTCCCTCCCGTGCTGACCTGCCGGTGATGTCTGAAGGTTCACAGGCTGGTCACTGGGCTCAGTCGTCTGGTCTTGGCTCTGGGCAATGAAGCCAATGAGCTGTTCCCTAGCACTAACAAAGATATTCTGACACTCTTGTCAATAACAAGTCTTGAAGAACGGCAATTTTTAGGAAAAAATGAGGTAACAGATTGACAGGGAAATACTTTCACATACATCAAGGAAATGGCCCATGTTAACTATTCATTCTGTTACTGATGGGCAACCCAATTGCTCAACACGTGTAACTGAAAATTGTTCCTTAAAATGCGTATCGTCAGATTTTCTGGTTTTTCCACAGTAATGGAAATGATAATTTCAAATCAAATGACATTTTTCTATTTCTATTTTTCACCATTAACACTCTTCTGCTTTCTTTTCTTCTCCCACTTCTGCATAAAGTGATGGAAGTAAAGGAGGAAAACCCACGTTGCCAAACTAAAATCAAATTAAGGCTTTTATTTGTTTTGTTGACAAATTTTGAATGAAACATAAGATTTTTTTTATTAATTGACTTTAAAACATTAATTTTTATTTTAAGGCATTTATAACCATTCATCTTTCTTCTTTAAAAAGTCCTTTCCCAATGTAAACAAATTCCAGAAACCTATATGGAAGATAACAAAAGAATTATATGTTAAACCATGTTATTTTTATTTAGTGTTATACAGCATTCTTTGTGCAGGCACTTATGATAACTCAAGTTTTCCACAAAGTGATTCCTGAAGGGTCAAAAGATGTTTGTTTTGGCAAAAGTTGAAATGTAGCCCTTGTGATTTTTGCACAGGATTGAAATACTGAGGATTAAGGGAGATTTTCTAAGCACTACTGCTTCTGAAGCACAGAAATTACACAAAACCAGTAATTTCAAAGTAAGAATGGATTCACTTCTTGT